TTTGCGGTGAATTATTTTATTTATTTGGGATAGTTTGTATCCATTATTAATTAGAAGATTAGTTACTCGTTGGAGTTCTTTTTCTCTATCTTCAGCTTTTGATGAGTGAGTATACGCCCTGTTGACAAAGGCACTGATCGTACTGGCTAGGAATGTTTCAGTGCACCCACTAATCCCATTGAGACAGAGTCTTTTGTTTGTTGGTTTTGTGTAGACCGTAGTTGTGAATTTATTTCCTTTTTTGTGTGTAAGCACGTCTAGGAATGGTAATTTATTATCAGTTGATTTTACAATTTGGATTTGTTGTTTATTTCCAGTAGTTTGGTGATTGTATTGGGGTTGTTGTAGGCAACAAATATATCGTCGATGTATCGACAGTATATTTGTGGTTTAAGCTGTGGATGATTTGCGAATGTAATCTCTTCTAAGTGACCCATGTAAAAATTTGCAAAAAGTACATCCAGTGGAGAACCCATTGCGATGCCGTCGATTTGTTTATAGAGTTTGTTGTCTGGACAGTAGAATGGCGTTTCCATTGTGCAGGTTTCTAGTAGGGATTTTAATTATTTTTTAGGTATGTTTAAAGGCGTATGTTTAGAATTATAGATAGTGTTTAATATGATTTCAATGGTATCTTTGACGGGAACATTAGTAAATAATGATTCCACATCGAGTGAAGCAATGTTTGTGTTAATTGTTGGTGTGGATGGAGGATGAAATGATGTCTAAAAATTCTTTACTGGATTTTAAATTATATCTGTTTGGTGTGTATGGAGTAATGAGTTTATTGAGGATTTTAGCAATGGGATAGGTGACAGTGAGTATTTGGGGTTATTTTCTTTGTTTTTACATTACCATACATATAGCCAGGCTGGTGTTCGCCTATCAGTTCTGGAATCAGATTATTAGTTGATGAAACACTGATTGATTTTATTATTTTATTAAGTTTGGTTTTTAATTCAGTTGTTAGATCTTTTTTAATTGATTTGAATTTTGAATTATCGGACAGTATTTCGTTGATTTTGTTTCTATAATCCGTTTTGTTGACAATTACATACATTGGAGCTATGTCTGCCTTTCTTATTACAATGTTGTTATTGTCTTTCAGAGATTTAGCTGCATTAATTAGTCTCTTTGTAGGCAGCTTGCTTTTGAAGGATCCTCTTTGTTTCTTGCTTTTGGCTTTGAGTTCCGCTTATAGTATTGCTTATTGTTATTATTTGTTGGTTTTCGAGATTGTTGAGGTTATCCATAAGTTTTTCAATTTCGATTTCTTTTTTATCTATTTTGTATTCTTAAACATATCATCAATAAAAATGTCATACCAACCTCACCCAAATAATAAAGTTAAACTCCGAATTTATTACAACAATAAAAAGACGTCTCACTTAATAATGAAAAACAACTGTAGTCCTAGAGATAACTAACTTTGTGTGAAAGCGTAATCACGTAATATATGAATTTAATTGCCCCTCTGACGGCTGTGCACGTCAACATGACTCATATATCGGGATCACTACTATTTCACTGACTAGAAAATTACGATGCATAAACATAGTGGTGCTATTAAATCTTATTTGGACTCAACTCAACACACTCAATCATTATAAGCCGTGAAATCCTCGACAGCAACATCAAAGTAATATACCAGAACACCAGCTACACGCATCTTAAAATTGCAGAAGCAGTCCTAATTGACATCAATAAACCAAAAATTAATATACAACAAAAAATGACAACCTCACTCCCAACCCGGCGCTTAATCAACGATGAAAACAAAGAAGTAATAAAAACTAGCATTGTAAATAATGACAAAAAAAATATGATGGTATTGACGAAGAAAAGGAAACCAGCCAATAAAGAAATCTGACACCTAATTTCCATCTAAGTTCACTTTGACAAAGTGAATATTTCTCTATATAAACTAAATTGCACTGATGATGATTCATTCAGAATCGAAATATGGCCTTATTTGCAGCATGAATTCGGAAAATAAGTTTATTTTGAATTTTAATAAGCTAAACGTTCTCCAAAAAACCTTAGTGAGAAAAATCGAAAAAACGAACTGCAAACATATTAACGCCAAACATTCTGTAGAATTTATAGAATATTGTAAAAATTATGGTCTATTACCAACACACACACACACATATATATATATATATATAACCAACATATATATATATATATTATATATATATTACCAACATACATATATATATATTAGGGTGGTTCAAAAAAAAATTTTTTTTTAATATTTAAGTGCACACCCCTTATATTTTTTCCTTAGCTGAAAGTTAGCATGTGTGCAAAATTTTATTCAATTCTGACAATATTTAGAGGTTGCTCAATGACATTCAGTTTTTCACCAAATTTAGCATATAAGCGAATATTGGTCAGTGCTACAATTTTGTGTTTAATGTTTATTTTGCAGTAAAATGAACAACATTCTTGTGAAAATCATGTAAGATTTAACAGTTCTACAAATTTATACTCAAAATAACAAAATATTCAACACTAAACAAACAGTTCTCACAAGGTAAAGGCAACTTGATTATGCCAAACGAAAGTTCAGTACTGTTAATCTTTGATTGAGAAACTGAAATTAACTTGAGGCAATTAATGTACTCAGTTTATGTTTTTCTGTTAATTACTCATAGTATGTCAGACTCAAAACATAGCAGCAGCTGCTTGAGCACTGGCTAATGTGCGCTTAGAGGAGTCCGGAATACGTGTTCGATTGTCCTCCACCACCTGTATCAGTTTTTGCAGTTCTGTTTCATTTTTGGTTATAGACTGGTTAAAATTTGTCATGAGTGCCACAGTGCGTTCTGCAGTGTCATTAACGACCTTAAGTGACTTCACAACATTTGCTACTTTTTGAAATAAAGGAAGATCATTCCATGAGTCTGGTTCAGTTTCACGCAAGATAGCAACATCCATTCCAAGTGATAACAATGCAGCACGAGATGTACCTGATACCAGATCATGCAGTGGTTTGCTTTTCACCTGTTCCAGTTCAGTTGCAGGATATTTGACACCTCGCACACTCCAGTCAGAATCTACTGCAGTCATTGCTTCCACAATCAACTGCTTCTCAGCATTTGCAACCTTATTTGAGAACAATGACAGCCAAATCATTTCTGTACCGAGATACCACAGATGATTCTTCAACTTTTTTGTGGCAGCACTTGCTACATTCTTGTTGTTTTCGGAGTATTGTTCAATTCTGCTCAGAAGTTGCAGGTCATTGACTGGTGCATCACTGGGTATTGGGCACAACATCCATGCTGGCACATATATATGGGTTGCAAATAGGCAGAATTCAGTTAAACTTTTTGTTTCAGTTGCTGTTAGCTTGAATTCATTGCGGAACAAATACATTTTGAGACAGTAGATCACTTTGGCCATCCATCTGGCCATGTGATATGCTCCAGGAACACGGAAATGGTACTTGCCATCAGTCTGCATTGGATAACTCAGCACTAAGAGACAGAGTTCAACCAACTCCTTGTAATCCTCTCGTGGGATGTATGAGCTGTCAGCTGAAAAAAAACATGTCAAAGATGGTACTATGTCAGACCGCATCATCTGTAGCAATGAGTGGTTCATCCTGTCATCATCAAGTGGCTTGTGGTTTGACTGATTTATATTTGGCCAGTAGGCTTGAAATCTTTCAAACATTCCAATGTTGGGGCCACGGCTTGGACCAAACAGAACTGTGAAAACTTCACCGATTATCAATTCATGTACAAAAATGACAACAAGCAAAGTGCAAGAGATTTCTATGGAGCAGTTTCTCCAGCAAAACACATGCTCCACTTGACGTCCCAGTATTGGCAGCAGTAGTATCAAAGCACATGCCTATAATGTCTTTACTAACGTCCCATAATTTGAGCAACTGAAAAGTTGCATTGGCCTGTGCTTGTCCCGTGCTTGATGCAATTTTAACAATTCCTAAGATTTTCTCCACATTACAGCCAGTCACAACAACAGCCAGTCTATCAGTTCTGGAGTGTGGATCATCATTCATGATCTTTCCATCTCAGTGAACCAGAAGGGGGTTTCTGTTACGATCCTGAAATTGTTGACGAATACTGCTGTCAATGGTTGATCGATGTTGCTGTCGTTTACGATGAACTGTGGAACGTGACAGAGATGTATCCCTGATGTCTTGCCCACTAGCTTGTGCAATGGCTGCTGCTAATACTGTGAACTTTCTATCTGACAGGTTTATTCTATCCAGTGCTGAAGCAACATCTGGCGACGACAACATATCCTGCACAGTTCGTGTTTTTTTGCTGGCACTGCTTGACAGACTGTCTTCTACTTCATTGATCTGCTTTTTGTAGTACACTGGAATTTCAATTTCATAGTTCCTCTGTGTCCTGCTGTTCACTATCACTGTCATCAGAACTAGATAAATGTAGTGAGGTACTTTCTGTCATCCGCTCCTGCTCTCGCTCTTTTCTCTCTTCTTCTTTGCATTTACGTTGTTCTGTGCGCTCTTCTTTCTTGGTCAGGTCTTTATCAATGCCACTCATTTGCATTCGTCGACTGCCCCTCTGGTCTTCAAGAAATTTTATATCTTCCTGAATTCGGATGAGCTGCATGGCGTGTTGGTGAGCAATATCAAACAGCATGTGCTCCTTTTCTTCAAATTCCTTCTCTCGTGCTCGTTGTGCTTCACTTTGTCTGTTTTTGTTCTTTTTTATTAGCTTGTAGTCATCAACTACCGACTTTACTTTTTCTACAACATGAGTATGGTAGGTTGTTGGTATTCTAGCCTTGTTCCACATGTTCCTGACCTTATCTGACGACAGTTTTGCACTTTCAGGCACAGCTTTCTTTTCTTCTTGATGATAATAAAAAAACATTCTCAGGACATCACCTGTTGTAGGCAATACATTTACTGGAAGTTCACTTTGTAACTGTCCAATCAGCCATATGTTAGTCATGCTGCGTGTTGTAAGAGCACCACAGTTTGAATTAGAAGCCATTTTATACGTAGTTAAATATGTACAGAACCGGTATTTCAAAATCACCTCAAATTACTAGTAAATAGACACAGTTAAATTATGCAGATATTTATCCTATTTTACTTTTTGCTGACAACAAATATGGTGACCATAGAATATTTAATAATAATAATGCATTTTAAAATATCTAATATCTATGTTTTGAATTAAGTAAGTAACCAACTTTTGATACTTTTCCAGTTATATTTGTATTTGGTTTCGAAATAATGAATTATCACATTTTTATATAATTTTGAGATGCATGAGCAACCTCTAAATTTAATTTGATTTGTCTTATTTTTGGTTTGTAAGTTTTTAGGACCCACTGGAAACTTTTCTGAGGGTGTGCACTCAAATCTGACAAAAAATTTTTTTCTCCTCTCTAATGTGATCCACCCTTATATATATATATATATATATATATATATATATATATATATATATATATATATATATATATATATATACATATTTTGTTATATACAATCAATCTTTGTTTTGCGTCCAGAGACCCGGTTTCCCGAGGTAGGTCGTTGTTTTCTTTGCCAGTAACTTTTTGCGCCAAATTAGACGATCAGTTGTATCCATTTCATTTAAATTTAGAGCTTTCATGTCTTGCTCGATTGTTTGCGACCAGGACTTCTTTGGACGGCCTTTGGAACGTGTGCCAGTTACTTCAACATCTGCAAGAAAAGTTATGGCACTGTTTCCACTTCGTTTGACATGACCAAACCACTGCAGACGGTGTTGCCGGCATTCGTTCTTTATATCATCTAAACCAGCACGACGCAGGATTTCAGTAGATTTGATGTGATCCTTCAGACTAATTTGTTGCATCCATCGGAGCATTTTCATGTCGGTTCGTTGGAGTTGTTGTTCCAGTTTGGTTGTCATTGGCCATGTTTCTGCACCATATAACAACACCAGACGTATCACAGATTTATAGTCTTGATCGTAGTGGTAGTGGAATGTCACGCCGCATCAATATAGAGGCAAGGAGATGCCATTTATTTCAGGCTGCACGTATGCGTGCTCGAACGGCAGCTTCAGCTGTTCCAGTACAATCCAGAACATTTCCTAGATATTGAAACGATGTGACTTTCTCTATTTTAATGGCTTCAAAAACAGTGCTATTTCGAATTTGTTGTTGTGGATTGATGCAAGCAGGACAAACAAAATTGGACACTAGATAAAGTACCAATTATTTTTGAACAACGTTTGTGACACCACTGGTTACACTGCTGACACTTGATTGAATTGTTACCTACACCAGCTTTACAAACTGAACAGGACCATCGTCCAGTAGCTGTGGATTGGATGGGTTCACCAGTGTTCATTGCTTTGGTTTTGCTGATGTTGACTTTGAATCCATGATCGGCGAGTCTGGTGTTCCAATCTTCAAACATCTGTGCTGCATTCTGCTCAGACGTGGCTGTTAAAACTCTACATACATATATAAATATGTATATATATATATACTGTTGTATATATATAGATATATATTGGTAACAGACTGTTGTTAACGCAACACTTCAAAAATTAAACACTACTTTCAACATTGTTAAACTTTTTTATATTTCTTTTTCATTTTAATTTAACGTCAGAAAAATTAGACATTTTATTGTTTTGAAAATTTAATTAAATAAATTTGCAGATAACTATTTCGAGTTATAGATAACTCATCTTTACTGAAAATAGCTCAAAAATAGCTATCTGCAAATTTATTTAATAAAATTTTTAAAACAATAAAATGTCTAATTTTTCTGACATTAATAAATTAAAAAGAAATATAAAAATGTTGAACAATGTTAAAAGTAGTGTTGAATTTTTAATATATATATATATATATATATATATATATATATATATATATATAGTTTGGAACGAGGCTTTCTTTGATGCATATATCGTTAAATTTATATGCCCATTCTGCATTTAGTAGTTTTTTAAAGACAACTTCAACACGACGTAAATTTTTATACTCGTATTTATTTAATGTCATAATTTAATTAATGTTGTAAGTGTCAGCTGACAGCGCTGTTTCGGCTATTTAGCCATCGTCGGAGCTGGATTTAATATTTTAAGATGAAATTAAATTAAGATTATTAAAATAATATTAAAGTAAATATTGAAATTAAATTGGGTTTTAACAATGATGTGAAACAATTTAAAAGATTTAAAAAGATTTAAAAAAACATATGAAACGTATCTTTAAAACAAGGTTAAATAAAGGAATAAACGTGAAAATGAAATTGATAATTAAATAATTAAAACGAAGTTAAATAAGGTAAAATTAAGTTATTATATATTTAAATAATTCAATTAAACTATATTAAATATGTCTAATTTAATTTAATTTCATCTTAAAATATTAAATCCAGCTCCGACGATGGTTAAATAGCCGAAACAGCGCTGTCAGCTCACACTAACAACATTAATTAAATTATGACATTAAATAAATACGAGTATAAAAATTTACGTCGTGTTGAAATTGTCTTTAAAAAACTACTAAATGCGCATATAAATTTAACGATATATGCATATATATATATATATATATGTTGGTAATAATATATATATATATATATATATGTTGGTAATAGACCATAATTTTTACAATATTCAATAAATTCTATCGAATGTTTGGCGTTAATATGTTTGTAGTTCGATTTTTTTCACTAAAGTTTTTTGGTGAACGTTTAGTTTATTAAAATTCAAAATAAACTTATTTTTCGAATTCATGCTGCAAATAAGGCCATATTTCGATTCCGAATGAATCATCGTCAGTGCTCCTTGTTGTATATATAGGAAAATATTGACTTTGTCGTTGTAAAAATTAACTTTGGCGTTGTAAAATTGAACTTTGATGCGAATTAGGTGTCAGGTTTCTTTATTGGCTAGTCATCTTCTTTGGTCTCCTTTTCTTCATCGATAGCATCATATTCTTCTTTGTCACTATTTACGATGCTAGTTTTTATTACTTCTTTGTTTTCGTTGTTGGTTAAGCGCCGGGTTGGAAGTGAGGTTGTCATTTTTTGTTGTATATTTATTTTTGGTTTATTGATGTCGATTAGGACTGCTTCTGCAATTTTAAGATGCGTGTAGTTGCTGTTCTGGTATATTACTTTGGTGTTGCTGTCGAGGATTTAACGGCTAATTGTGATTGAGTGTGTTGAGTCCAAATGAGATTTGATAGCACCACTCTGTTTATGCATCGTAAGCCTTCTAGTCAGTGAGGTAGTAGTAATCCCGATATATGAGTCATGTTGACGTGCACAGCCGTCAGAGGGGCAATTAAATTCATATATTACGTGATTACGCTTTAACTCAGAGTTATCTCTAGGACTGCGGTTGTTTTTCAGTATTAGGTGAGACGTCTTTTTATTGTTGTAATAAATTCGGAGTTTAACTTTACTATTTGGGTTGGTTGGTGTGACATTTTTATAATTCACATCAGGATATATATACTATATATCCTGATGTGAATTATTTTGGTAAAACGATAAATCCTTGCAATTATTTTAATGTTAAAAATTCATTTTCTTCTAGTGTCAACGATTTTGAACAAATTAGCTGACATTGATCTTTTTTTATATCAATGTGGCATTAAATTTATGATTATCGCTGTTACTGAAACGTGGTTAAATAATGATAAGGCTCCTTTAGTATCAATTCCGAATTATAATTTCTTTTACAATAACCGATCGCCACTTCATCAACAGCTGTTTGTTATCATGTGGGGTTGGTTTATTTGTGCACCAAGATCTTGCTGTCTAATAGCTTGTTGATTTACGATCTTCATCGCATTTTTATGAATCCATGGCAATTGAAATTTTAGTGAAAGACAATCAAAAAATAGTAATTATTGTTTTTTATATGCTTCCTGACTCTGATCCATTTGTTCAGACCAACTTTCTAATTTCTTAAGAATGAATTAGGCTTTACGTCAAAGAAAGATCTATATTGTAGGTGATTTTAATATTAACTTAACTTAATAATTCTGTTTTGTATTTTGATACCTTATATTCATTGCATTATCGCCACTAGAATTACCGACTATAGTTCGTCTCTCATTGTATATATATATATATATATATATATATATATATATATATACAAACAATTAAGTATCACATGTCTCTGGAATCATTTCCACCAACCTATATTTACAATAGCTGAAGAAAAAGTATCAGACGTTGAGGTTGAAGTGGTATATAAGTTATGTTTTTCTAGGCGAAACCTGGAAAAGGTTAATAACCAGCTGTTAACATTTGATTGGTCGGCAGTCTTTGCTTCTGTGACATCAATATTGCTGTTAACATTTTTTTGAAATATGTTACCTCCACCATTTCTAAATTTTGTCTTAAAACTCAAGTCACTAAAAAAAATTCAAAAAACCATGGTTCACAAATGAGCTACTGAAATTATCTAAACTTAAAAATAATCTTTACAAAAATTAAAAAAAAATCCAACTGGTTTTAATAAGCAATATTATTTAATTTATAAAAACAATTTTCTAAAAGTCAAAAAACAATCAATTGCTTTATTTTTAAAAAATGAATTTAAAGCTTGCCATAATAACATAAAAAAAGAAACTTGGAAAATTATAAATGGTTTACTAAATAAAAACAACATCTCTAAACGAGTTTAGAAAGTACTTTAAATCATAATGGGGATATTATTCATTCGAGTAATTTGATTTAATTAACAATTGTAATTTTCTTAGCTTTATGCCACCTTCCACATGTTCGTCCATTTTTTTCTGTGAAACCAATGAGCTTGAAGTGTTAAAAATTGTTTTTAAATTTAAAAATTCACATTCGTCTCGCTACGATGATATTTCTAACTACATCATTAAAAACCTAGCTTGAAGTATTAAAAATTGTTTCTAAATTAAAAAATTCACATTCGTCTGTCCATGATGATATTTCTAACTACATCATTAAAAATCTAATTAATTCATTTCTAATGCCACTAACATA